TTCAAAAGTAGTTTCAGTGGAATATATATACATTCAGAATATTTCAATTTCGATTATGGAGATTCAAATAAATAATTCCTATAATTGACTCTTCCCAAAAAAATATATCGATAAAAATTTCTACATAAAAATTTCAAATATACTCTTCGAAAACGATATTAAAACTGTAAAAAAGTCGCTAAAAAGAAAGATTCTCTAAAATTATCTCTTAATTTCTCGCTTTCCATTTTTCCAATTTTGAACCGAACCATAATTTTTTCTCAATATCTTTCCAGTCACGTCGGTTCGAGTATCGCCTCAACTTTTCCATTTCGTCGATTTCTCGGTTAATTTGAGCCGAGATTGGAGATCGTATAAGCCTTGCCCAATGTTGTTTCTTTACATCCACTTCATCGATAAGATTGATGCCATTTTTTTGGCCGGTCATGTCGGTTCGTTCCGACTTTCGAGTCGACTCTCGAAAAGCGACACCCGATATATACATCCTGCTAGTAGAGTAGCAAGCTAAAGCGCGTGGGAGACGCGACGTCTGACCCTGTATCACGTTTTGATAAAAAGAACACGCGTTATCGACAGGTACGTCGGCATAACTAACGTACCTTCTACTGCCACGGCTAAAGTAAATTCTCGAGCGTGGATACGATAGGTATTATTCTGTAAGAGGACACGAGGACACTGTTTCGTTATCGTACGTGCCATTTATACGACGTTTATCCGGTGTTCGGTGTGTGTCTTTTCGTTTGTTTTGCGATTTAAGTTTGCGTAACGCATTTGCATAACACGAGTTGTGTATTAAGATGTGAATCAGTGGGAAAGGGGGAGAGGGAGGGAGGGAGTGAATTATTTGGATAAACCTTGTTTCTTTAATCCGGAATCGTTCGTGGGTATCTCTGTTTCTCTTGTTTGAAAGGAGTTGGATCGAAGATATAACATTTTCGTTAATCTTGTAAAATTAATATTTTCGTTTAAAGATAGAGTTAGTTAGATATTAGTAAATTAATTAATGGGAAAATTGATGTTAACATTTTATTAAATTATCAATGTAAGTGAAAAACTTTGTTTAATTTGTTATTGGTAAATTAATGAAAAATATCTTTTAATAATTAATATCGAATTTTTCGTGTTTTATATTAGAAATATTATTATATAATACTATTTCTAATTTTCGTTTAGAATTTGGAAAGAAGAATGTCAAGTGTTTTTATCGAAAAAATAATTTGATCGAAATTTTTTAAATATTGAACTGTGAAAGAAGAACATTTTATTTGATAAACAATTACTTTAAAACGAACAAATTATCATACTAATTATACTTCTCTTGATTATTGTAAGAATTTAAATAATATAATCTCACAATCTTCCATATTAATTTTCTCCAATTTTATTACGAGACAATGACTCAATGATTATTAATAATCGAAACTATATCCTTTTTAAAAAGAGCAAATATTTTCATTAAATTTCTTCAATTCTTTTAGATGCAAACCACGCTACGATTATATTATGAACATAAATACAACAAATGGAAAACACACTCATTTTCCATCCACCGTCGAAGATACGTCCACCTCGGTTCATAGAAGCGCCAAATAACGTGTATCCTCAATTTCTTATCACCACCAACCTTTCCAAGATCGTCGGATATTAAACCACAGTCTACAGCGGTCGCCCAGTTGATTCTGAGCTCGAGTCTTGCACTTCCCCGGATTACCTCTTTGCGGTTCGACAATATTCCAGGGTAGTTTCCTTGGGCCAGTAGTTGGATATTTGGCAGGTACCCTACTAGGATACACACTATTTCACTTCCAAAGTATCCGAGCGCCAGGAACAACCGAAGTACTTACTCCCCGAGAATCCGGAACACCTACGGCCAGCCATGGGGCCAACTAAGTTGCAAGTAGATTATAGAACCTCTGGCCAGACCAGATTCGAATGCTCGAATGCTGCTAATAATGCTGTTTAATAAGGGGAAATGAAAAGATACCAGCCTTTTTATTTATTATATTGTATTATATATACAAAAATAAAAATTAAATAAATTTTTATTTACGATCAATTTATTATTCCGAGTTCAATTTCATTGGGGCCAACTAAGTCGCAAGTAGATTATAGAACCTCTGCCCAGATCAGATTCGAATGCTCGAATGCTGCCTTTTTATTTATTGATTATATTATATATACAAAAATAGAAATTAAATAAATTTTTATTTACGATCAATTTGTTACTCCGAGTTTAATTTCATCAAAAAAGAAGTTCTTCGTATTCTATAAACAAAATTTCTAAAAAAAAAAAATCGAAATAAATTTTACAACATTTCGAAACTTGTGAAAAAACGAAGAAATTATTTACAGGCACAGAAAAAACTCTATTCGAATAGAAATGATCGATTACACGAATATTCGCCCAATTTCACCACAGATTTCGTTACACTCCCCCCTCTCCTATTATCGAACTCGATTCCATTACCATCCATTCGTCCACCCCTCCCAAGACTCGGTTCTCCCCCTAAGGTGTCACTCACGAGCGAGATGACGACGAGACGACCGACCGAAACGGAGAGGAGCGAGAGCCACCCCCCACCCCTTCCCATCCCAAAGTGTCCTTCACCTAGGCGAGGAATTTCACAAACGAAACCAATTTCTCGGGCTCTCAATCGGGAATACACCCCTTTCGGTGTGTATTCAAACTTTCCCTCTCGGCGGTGTTCAGACGTATTGGTGGTGGCCACCGATTTGTCGACGAAATCGGCCGTTCAACCAGGTAAATGAAGCCAAGGAAAGGAGATCCGATTTGCTGGGAAAGAGCCGATTCCAAGATTTCTTTCGACAATGAGGCTGATTTCAAAAATCCGGTTAAATCCGGCGATAAATCTGGAAGATGTTCCGGTTGGGGCTCGGGTTTTTTTCCAACTTGGGGAGGAAGGGGGGAATTTATGCTGTAAGGGGGTGGGATTAAGACGGGCAAGCATTTCCATTCCATTCCGAGGAAATCGAATTTGCGGTTGTTGAGATATTGATAGTTGAGTATTAAGGGGGAGTGGTGTGGTGCCCTCTGGAGAATGTTGGAGAAAGTTTTGTTGAATGAATAATTGGTGTTAATAAGAGAGTTTTAAGAGATTGAAACATGGAGGATTGTACTTTTTTTTTTATTAGATCGTTCTAGTTTTTGCGAATCTCTGTTAAATTCTGTTAAATTTTATGTTATGTTATCAATTTATAAATGTGATGGGTTGATCGTAATTGGATATCTGATCGAATCATATCTTATTCTACGAATTTTTAATTCAATCGATATTTTTGTTAAACAATTTTAATAATTCCTTTTTTATTAAATATGACAATAAGAATGATTGTATTGATGTTTATGAGATTTTTTGGAAAAAGTATGATTTTAATATACCAATAATCGAATCAGGTCATTTTTTATTCATATCTGAATTATAAATTATTTCATTTTACAGTATTTGAATTTTCTTTTGAAAA